GACAATTGAAGGAAAAAGAGTTTAAGTGACTTGTTCAAATTCAACTCAAAAGAAGAAATGCAACTGAAGGCCATGGAATTTTGGATCCCAAACAGGGATCTTCCACTAGGCTACATTGCTGTAAACCAAGATCCCAATCCAAAGGTTATCTGAAGAATCATTCCAGGATGACAAAACCAATCACTACCATTAATTTTTAGTTTAGTGCTAAATACTGACATTAAAATGTAATTACCAAAAGCATCACAACAGCAAGTCTAACAAAATGACAAATACACTAAAGTCATGACAAACAGGTGGAATGCAAAGAGCACAATAGGTTCTTGAGGCTGAAATTGTTTTTTAGCTAATGCCTTATGTATTACTGTTTATTACAAATATCTGGGTATGTAGCTTATCCTCCTACTAGAATGAAAGCTTCATGAGGACAGGGATAGTATTTTATATAAATTTCATTATCATTCATTTCCACAGTGCTCTATAGGCATTAGGTATTTCATATTAGTTGAACTGAACTGAGATCTAAGTTCCACTGGTATTAGCAGAAAAAGCACTAGTGAGTCTTAGTGGGTCAGAAAACCCAGAAGTCCTGACTCGAACAATTAATTCCTCTATGTTTCTAGACAATCCCCATTGGGTTGAATTTCCTCATCTGAAAAATGAAAATACTATCTACCTCTCTTAGTTATTGTGGGCAAAGTGCTTTGTAAACCTTAACGTACTTAAGAAAGGGCAGTTATTATGATTAAAATCATCATTAAGTGCATAGAATTATAGAAAAACAACACAGCTAATAAAAATTCAGGGCCCCAAAATGATAACTTACCCAATTTTCGAAGGATCCTTTTGCATTCATCCCTGCTGAGATCCAGAAGGGTTGGCCATACAACAGGCATCCTTGCTCCTGTTTTGTAGCCCCACAGAGCTTATTTTCCCTACAAATAAGGAAAAAACTTAGGTCACCAAAATGTATCCATTAAATTACCTGGAAGACAACACTCCAGTAAATACACTTTCCCCACTATAGCAGTTTCCCTGATGTTGAGGAATGGGCAGACAAGCCTTTCAGTGGTTGCAACAAGTTCTCCATGCTTTCTCTGCCAATCTTAAAAAGGTAAGGATTTGGGTCCCATATCCCTGGTCAACTATTTGCTCTAATGTTGCCCACCTCTCCTTACCTGAATCCATTGTGATCTCAAATGATCAACGGGCAATTAAAACCAAGAAACAGCACAATGACTGAACAGCAGGTTTCAAAAGGGGAGCAGAACCAAGAAAAGAAACCAGTTTGCTTGTGCAAGGGTTATGGAAGCAGAGGATACAGCCCTTCTCCAATGCCCCAAAAGAAAGGTACACAAAGACTAAGACCTTACAGCCCAGGAGCATCACCACAGAAACTCTGCTACCTTATTATGCTAAAGAAAAAATCCATTCCAAACACACCATCTCTCCCTCATAAATGTCATCACCCAGAGTCTGCCTCCTCCATACAACATGCCCAGCCTGACTACCTTTCTCAACTCCCTTACCCTTTCCTTTTCTCTCCCCCTAAACTCAAGCATTCAGAAACATAAGATGGACACATCCACCTTTACACCCTTCCTCCTTCACTTCCTTCTCTCCCTCCCGCCCCTGCCTCACCCAAACACATGCACACAGAACCACAGGAGGACCTTACTAAACCATCCAACTCAGACTTTCTTCTTTACCTCCACTCCACCAAAAAAATCACACACAATATCACAAGTGGACTTCCTTATCCTTCCCACTCACCCTCTTCCATCTCTACTCTCCCTCTCTCTCCAAACACAGGCACACAAGATCACAAAAGGCCACCCATTCTTTCCCACCCCCCCAACACATACAGAGAGGCACAAAAGGACCCCCCTCCATGCTTCCCACCCGCCAAACATATGCACCCAGCATCAACAAGAGTTTGCCCACCCATCCCCCCACCATTTCCAACTTTCCTTATCCTCATCCCTACCTTTCCCACCCCTACACTTTTCAGCCCCTTCTCCTCCAGCCTCATTTTCCCTCCCTTCCCCCAATGTCATTTGAAAGCCCCAGTGCCACAGCAGGACAGCAAATGACAGGGGCTCTGGCCCCACGGAAGCCAATAGTAGTCTCCCTACCCCCTGCACCTCCATTCAAAGAATGTCAGAGATAGAAACTGCCAACAAACAGGGAATTTAAGAGCCAGGAAGGAGCACAGGATGTTATAGCTAGCAAGGTTCTCAGAACAAAAAGGACACAGAATATTAGAGCTGGAAAGGACTCTAGAACATGGAGAGTATTGGATGTTAAAGCTTGGAAGGACCCTAAAACACAGAGAGCACAGAAAGTTATCAAGCTGAGAAGGACCCTAGAGCACATAATGTTATGACTGGAAAGGACCTAGAACATAGACAGCAGAGAATTTTAAAGCTGAAAAAGACTCTAGATTATAGAGATGATATTAAGGATGTTACTGAGTTGAGAAGGACCCTAGAAAATTTAGTAAATATAAGATGTTAGAACTAGAAAGGATCCCAGAACAGAGAGAACACAGAACACTATCGCCAGGGCACTAGAACACAAAGAGCCTGGGATGTTACAGCTGGAAAGGCCCTAGAATAGGGACAGCACAGGATGTTATAGAACTGAGAAGGACTGCAGAATATGGAGAGCACAGTAATGTTAGTGCTGGAAGCACCCTAGAAAATGGACAGCAAAGGATGTTAGAGCTTGGAAGGACACTACATCATAAGGAGCAGAGGACGCCAAGGAGCCCAGAAAGACCCTAGAACATAAGAGTATAGGAATGTTGGAGCCAGAAGGACCCTGGAACACAGAGAGCCCAGGATGTTAGGGCTGAAAAAGACCCTCAAACAAGGACAGCACGGGATGTTAGAGCTGGGAAGGACGTTC